GAGAGAGAGAGAGAGTCCTAGGAAGCATACAGTTTTATCACCTTACTACACGCCAAAGTTAAAGGATTCTCAAGTGAAACTCGACAAACCCTTGCCAGCTTTAGCCGGGCCAACAAAACCAAAGCAGCATATTATCAAATGAAGGATGACTGATAAGTATATGGCCACTCCGAAAACACAATACAATCATATGTTTATAGTCATCCCTTCAGAAACTCCCCTCCATCTCCCATCACGAACCTCTGCAATTCAACAGCCTGCACCAAACTTCAATAAAAAAAACCATAAACATCATGTTCGCTCATCGAAGGAACCAATGCCGAAACAGCTATCCATCAGCTTCAAAAAATTAAGTAGAAAGAACAATAGAATATCAAGTGATTATTAGGCAAGGAACTCATTTTACTAAGTGAAAATAGTTACCGTGCCGAATACCATGAATCGGTACGCTTCATCTTCAACTATGTGGGTATGTTTTATGTCATGAATTGAGAATCCAAAATCAAGGACAAGGAACCCTAGAAACTAATTCCCTTAGTAACACGCTTCCTGTCGCAACTCATTCAATGAATACTATTTCTTTAGGTTGAAACTGGGCGTGACTCACCCATAAAATAAAATACATTTTTATATTTTTTGTGGGGATAATAATTTTCTATTTAAACAAATAAATACATGCAAAAAATGGACTCTGACCAATTTTTACCTCATCCTACAAGCTCCCGGCTCCCATCTTAAGACCACCCTCTATACAGTCATATGAACTTCAGGAAACATTTGGTTCCTTTGCGCTGATTGTGAGACTTCAGTCTGATTATGTACCCAAATCCCAACATCCACTGTCATAAAGACCCTACATCCAACATCACCTTAGTCAACTAGGGTTTCATCCCCTGTTTGCTAGAGGCACTTCCTAATTGGAAAGGATGGGAAGAAACTACTCTCTTACACAAGGGAAGGAAATAAACCATTTCTAGACCTCCCTTACTCCCTCCATTATGGCCACCTGCCCCTGTATCTCCAAAAATCAGCCCCAGAGAACATTGCCCTGGCATCTCTATTTAAATCATGACCAATGTGTGCCAATCATCTTGATAGAGATTTAAAGTTGCATTAAAAAAATAAACAAAAAAAATCATCTTAATAAGAGATTCCTGCTTTTCTTCCTCACTAATTCAGTCCAAAATCAACATTTTCCCTAACATCCCCTGCATCTCGATCTATTGATTACCATCCCTTTCAGTATCCTGCGTACCTGTGCCAACACAGGCACTCCCAAATGGGGCTTATTTTGTGTGTCGATGTAGGGACACCTTTTAGAGATAAATCTGACTTGTGTACAGGCTGTGTTGGGCATAATTCTGGATTAATAGGAAAGATCAGAAGCGGTGTTTTTCTTTGTTAGATACTTCACTGAAATTTTTATTAAAGATGACAATCCAAAGACTAATATTTCAAAATCTTCTATACAGAGTAGTTCTTAAGATTTCTTTTCAATTTTGGGTTTTTTAAAAAATTCAACTTTCTTTTCTCTTTTCTTTTTTATTTTATATATTTCTATATACATATAAATTTCACATATATAAATGTACAGTCATTTCAGGCCTGTGACTTGATTTTTAGGTCACCATGTCTAGCTCTTCACACATCTCAGAAATGACATCCATTTGTGTCTAGGTAACATAGATCCATACTTCTTTCCGTCTCCCCAACCCTTCCCGCTTCTTTCTTCTACATTGGCTCGATTTTTCCTCCTCCAATGCACCACAAATACAACATACAGTATCCACCAAACCATTTCCTAAATCTCCTAAAACTTGCATCTTCTTATACTGGCAAATCCACATCCCCATGTGCTACAAGCATGACATTTGCTCAATGCTTTAATTTGGAGAATAACATTAAACCACATTAGGTAATCTAATATGAAACAATATACCACAATCCAATGCAGAGTGATCCATGGTACGCCAAAGAAGCATACATTGTGAATCACTGATGACTGATGATGGAGATTAACTACAGTAGAGCCCCCTAAGAATTTTACCGAAATACAGTTTTTTTCCTTTCATTTTTATTCCAAGTACAACTAAGCTCCACGTCATCGAGAACCCAACATGGATGCCCCTTCAGAATATGGTAAACCATCTTCATGGATTATGGCATGCTTCCCCTTCCTGAATACCTGAAGTTTTCTCATATCCTTTCATCTGGAGAATTATACATCGGCATAATGTAGAAAGCAACAAATTATAGCATTAAAACAATCGAGGTATTCTAATAAGCCATGTAGGGGATCAACTGCTCTCTTTTCTTTATCATAATATAAAAATTAGAAATTATGACAGCATTGAAATTGGGATAAAAGAGGAATAGAAAATCACCTCACATGAAAGTGGAGATAGATCATACACAGTTCCAGAATACTTTTTCCTTTCTTAATTCACTAACACATGGCACGAGACTTTCAGCTGCTGAAGGGCATATGCATGCCTAGCTAAATATGAAGATCCTGCAGGACATACTGCTCATTAATTGCCCCAAAAGAAGTGGGCAAGAACCCAAAAGATACACCATGCTAAATAATTCGTACATAATACATTTAGGGGAAGTATACCATAGATGGAACGAATAGTCCACTCGGTCATCATCATACATTTCAATGGTTAATGGAAATTGGAAGATTGGACAGTGAGTTGAATCCACCAACAGAATAGGACATGAACTCAATGGTGGATTTCACTGTCCACGATGCAAATGCAAGTTGATGACCTAATGGATGATAAATCCATTCAGATTCTTAACAGGTTATACTTAAATATACATTAGCATTGCAACATAGAAACTAGTTTAACAATAAGGGTGAACATAAACAAAATAAAACAAGACTCACATTCAACATATCCCTCTGGACTTATAGATGCAATATCCTAAAGAAGTCTGAGAGCCTGTTAAAGATAAATGTAAGTATTGTACACCAGAAATATATAGCCATAGAGCAGAAATGTTTAAAGGAGTAGAGCATATCTAGTGAAATTTGTCCAGTTGGAAACCATTCCAAAATTTCCATTGAAATTTTTATGCATTGAAAGAAGCAAACCTGATATCTTTAGCAATTACAGTATTTCCATCTTCAGCACCAAGATGCCGCAGTCTTACTTCTTCTAAGGTCCCATCCCTATATGCGTGCTGCAATAGAATAAAATATAATGAATTAATATTCCAAAGCGCTATTTTCTCCCATCCACACTACCCCCACAAAAAAGACACGCAAAGCCCACATTATCACTGAGGCAACGGATAACAATCTGACATAGGAGATCCAGAACAGCTCGAGTAACAAGGCGCGCAAATGTCTTTATGAAATAAAAAGGCCAAATGGCCCCAAATCACTATAGAGAATACATAGTGCAGCTACAGGTGGCAAGTGGTAAGAGCGTCATCCACCTTCCCACACATAAATACATGTTCAGGAACTGTAAATAGCAATGTTAAATATGGCCTCCAGTGAGTACTTTGTTACACGGGAGAGTAAGGGGAGAAAGGTCCTAAACCCTAGAAACTCGATCATATATGCACCTCGCCCTTCACCACCGAGAGAGTGCCTAATAAACCGGACAATGAGTTAACCCAAACAACCGCACTGCCAAATCAACATAGAATTCTACCTGAAGAATCTATACAGGCCCTAGTCCACCTGATAGATGCAAACTGAATGATACACAAAGGCTCCACCCAATGCATGATACCCAAGGGCACTACCTGAATGAAGACAAACCCCTTTCAAGGATTGGGCATCAAACGGTGTTGGACCAGGTCACCTAAATCCACAATAACGCATTTATTTTTATTAATGGTTCACAGTAATAGACTGAGAATTAAGAGTCCCATTATGAAGTCAATCCTGCAACGCGGAACCAATACAACAGACATCAAAAGATATCAGACCAGAAGTCCACACAACCACCGTACAGGATTTTCCATAAGAGAATGTTGAGATGAGTTGGCATTCCCTGAATATAAATATGTATCAAATATCTTTGAAGGAAGGTATCAATCATATGGGTTCTGTCACAGCTGCAAATGTAATCTTTGTGCTGATTTAGATATACTGGAACAATCATCGTTTCTTTTGACATGGAGAAAGGTGACTTCAAAAATTAGAAGTTATGAGAATGGTTACAATAATTCCATCAGGCAACAAAAACCAAGTGGAAGTTCAAACACAAATGAAGTACGCTATGTTTTATTGAAGGCTGCCATTACTAGAACCATAGAAAATCAATCTTATCGATACTTACACAAAGAACACATTTAAAAACATTTAAATTCAAGGAACATTTTCAAAAAAGAAAAACAACAATTAGGATAGCTCTCATCATTTCTTTCTTTATAGACCGCTCCAAAATTATGATGATTATGTTGAATGAAAAATATTTGGCATACAAATCGAATTACGTCAATAAAGAGCACAGAATTCTATGCAGAAAATTATCAGAGATACATATTGCAGAAGCTGCACAGCACAAAAGAATCAACTCCTTTAAGAACTCTTTCTGCGATGGTCGAAATGCAAATCTAATAGTACATCTCATGACAATCTGCTTAATGGAAAAAAGGTATCGCTAGTTATACACGGGTGCAGGGATACCCCATTGAGGCAGAAGAAGAAAGTAAATTTAATACAAAACATCATGAGATACAGGAAATTCATTTAAAAAATAACAAAAATGATGCTGTCAAAACAAAACAAAAAACAAAATGGCTTTGGAATGATTACCTTGTAGAAACAACTGGTTCCAAAGGGACATGTCCCCTGTCCAAAGTCAAAGTACCTGCAATCAATAGAACTGCCAAAAAAAAAAGAAATTTAAACCGCATATTAGACATCAACCTTCTGATGATTCTAAAAGAAATTTAAACCGCATATTAAACATCTCAGTACAAAAAAAATATTTATCATCACAATACATAACATTCCTCTATGAAAATAATATTAAGATCTAATACATATTCTCCTTAAGAGATCAAATTAAGATGAAGTTAACATTCCAAACTGTGCATGTTGTCTAACAATCAGCTTCAAGAAAAGATGAAAATCTGGGGTGTCTTCTATCAGATATTGCAAAAATTTTGTAAATCAGAACAAATAACCGCTCACTCCCTTCTCTGTAAAACAAAACTTGTGCTGCACACCATTTTAGCGTGTCAAAAATAAAATTATAAGTTTATAATCATGTCCTACACATGTCTTGACACTTCAAACACATCCATACTACAATGAAAACGTTTGTATGATTTAACACACAAGCACGCGCATGCACACACACTGAAAATCCCAAGCCCAAAATAAAAGAAACAATACCTGAGTTTTGATTTATAGCTATCAATGATCTCTTGTTTCTCTTCTTTTGTAGAATACCAAATAACACTAGGAATGACAAAGTATGAGAGCTTGCGACAAATCGGACAGGCCCTTAACACCGAATTGACATCCATACCCGACATTGGAGAATTATTGCGCCAATTTCGTATACACGATATACAGAAGGGATGATCACACTCTGAAAGCAGCCCAAACTTCCTTTCAGCTGGAGTAGGCTTCGAGAGAACACGCTCTAAGCAAACACTGCATTCTATCTCTTGGCTACGCCTCAATGCTTCAAGCCTCATTTGATTCTTTTGACACATTTGGATATGTTCTTCCCTTTCATCAGGCCTATAAGGATGCAAGCAATGTTTTCCACAAGAGGCGCATAAATCCCCATGGATATGAGAGCATTTTTCTCCATGAGGGCACTTACCAGCAGCAGCAAATGCACATATAGGTTGGTCAGCCAAGCTCAAACTTTGGTGATATTCACGGTCGGGAATGTAAGAAGTATCAGGAACTTCATTCCAAGAGGGTCTAACCACTGGGTAGAAGGGTTTGCTGTGAGCTGAGAGTTCTGGAATATAGCTTCGGGTTCTGGGAGTTCCAGGAGCAACTGGAGTTGAAACTAAAGTTGACTGTTGATAAGAATTTGAGGATGTAGAAGAATGCTTCTGTGGATGAGAAGCTTTAACGTGGTCATACCGACAACGACTTCCATAGGAACAGATTCCCTTTTGATAGAAGGTACAAATCTGCAGCCACATAACTGGTAAGGTATAATCATGAACTCCAAAATTCCAATTTAAAAGAAAGACAATGTGCACTTATATTTGAAAAAGGAATGTGCACTCTAAACAATAAACTACGCCAAAACCACAGTGCATTGGATCATCACCATCCAGTGAAATGATGATAGCAAAGAAGAGAGCAGAAGCAATGTTGGATAAATCACCGTCCCTACCGCCTAGGCGGGCTCCTTGGGTGCATTGCCCAGGCCAAGGCGGGCAGGGGCAGGAGCATGCATACAGGCACGCACCTAGGTGCCCAGGCAGGACGCCTAAGCGGACCGCAAAAATGTCACTCGGTTAGGAGCATTTTTAGTCTTTTTTACCCCCAATTATTTGTATTAAAACCATCGGGTGTCATTTTAAACCCCTGGAGAACCAACTTCAAGCCAAAACTCGCTCAAATGCGAAGTTCTTGTGGGAAATCCAAGATTGAATGAAAATCCGAAATTTTCTATTTCTTGTGAAATCCAAAAGCAGTTGTGCCTAATCTTTTTGGGGCTTTAAGGGGTTGAGAAAAGAGGTTTTTGGCAGCCAAAGCTCACCCCTTTGAAGCTTGAAACTTTGGATGATGTTTATGCAAAGATTTGAAACTTTAATGTTTTTATTACTTTACGAGTTGTGGTGATTTCTTATACCAAACCCTTAAAAAAAAAAATTGACAATTGGGCACCCATGTCTCTGGGCACCAGCCTAGGTAGGCGCCTAGGGGTCTAGGTACCTAGGCAGCCTAGATGCCTCATCGCCTAGGCACCGCCTAGCGAGTTTTCCAACATTGAGGATAAGGAACACTATTGGAACATGTCATGTTCTAGTTAGCCCCATTTTTTGTCGACATCCATTTTTACTGATAATTGTCCATTGGATTATAGCATACTTCCTTAATATTCTATATTTATAAATTGAAAACTAGAACAGCACCACAGAAAATTGCTTGGAACTTACATTATTTGGCTGATCCCTCCAATCATGAGAAAACTCACAATGCTCCCCTTTCAGGCATGCTCCATGAAGGAAAAATTTGCAAAGAACCCTGTGATGAGAGGCATAACTCTCAGATAAATATTGCAGACACGAATTCATCACTTGTTTATATCACAGGCAATAAAGGATTTCATCAAAGAGAAAGAATAGAGGTGCAAGGTTGCAACATTATAACTACTATGCTCAGTCCTACAAAAGACCAAATAATGGACAGCCAGAGCGGCTACCTGGAATTCTGTCTTTCAAGATAGCAGTCAGCTTTTTCCTAGAACAAGGGCATCTTCAATGGAAGGTTTACCGATTAGACATCTATCAGGAAATTGGGAAAGGAACATATTAATAGAATAGTTACAATATTTAGGGAAAGGGAAGGATCCATGGGGGAAGGCATCTGGCACACCACATCTATAAAACAGTAAAAGCCGAGAAACCTGTGAGGAGTTTGGAAAACTAAGACCAAGGGCTAAGTCCTTGTAATTATGGTAAGGAATGATGAAGAAGTGAATCGAGCATCTTAAAGATAGAACCCATTAGGCAACCTGGACAAGCATGAGTAGGGAACTTATCTAAAGATTAGAGCAATAAAATTAGTGTCAGAGATGGGGAAAACAAAAGGAGCATCAAAAGTCAACAAGGCCAGAGATTGTTACAGGTGACAGCCCCCAAGAAGACAAAGGCTATGGTGAAAGAGGTATTAGAAAAATGGCAAAGGTTATAAGGAAATTAATAGATATTAGAAAAATGGAAAAAAAAAAGGCTTCAATGTATCCAGTACATAGAAATTCGGCACGTTTACATCATCTTCTCTATTCCTTCCATTGTGGATTGGTGTCTTTAAAAATATTTATGAAGTAAAGAGGCAAGCAGATGTCTCGATGAATATTCAGGAATATGTTAACTCAAGTCTAGCATGTAGACAAAGCGAGCATGTAACTCCCCCATTCCCAAACCCCAGCACTCCAGCAACCCTCCCTTTTAAAATTTTGATCAGGAACATGAATAACATATTACATAGTCTTATACTTGTCTTTATCATCAATAGAAGTTAGTGTGTGTGTGTGTGCATTAACATATACCTCCTTTTTGCTTCAGATACACTGTGTAGCTAAGGAACATCACACAGGTGTATGAATGCGTGTGTATGCATCTAGAAGTGTATGCAATATCAATAAATCACAAGATGGAATACAACAGCATTTTAACTATTGCAATACTATATTTACCACAACTTTGTAAAACACAGGTCCAGTGCATGAAGCTCAGCTGTCCTCATGCTGTAAATCATGTGTCAAAACGGACTTGTGTTGCTGTGTTTAAGTCCCAGTGCAAACAGATGTTACACAATACTGTTTGTAAGAGTGAAAAATGATCTTCTGAGCATGTGGTCAGTCAAAATTTTATTCGTTATTTTATACAGACTCGTAGAACCAACTCATAGACATATTTTAATTCACACCTGAGTTTTAAATAAACTCATAGAAGGTGTGACACAAAAGGCCCCACCAAGAAACCAAGGCTCTTTCTAAGCACTTGTAATAGTCTTTGGATCTGGCATCACATCCTCTCAATTTTGACTCTTATTAGGGCATGGGCATTAAACTGTGCCCATATTCTATGAACAAATATGGGATAGTTAATCCTACATGGTGGACTCAAACTGCATATATGTATTGATCTCTTAGAAATTTAGTAGCAGTGCTTCCAGCCTTTTACACATCCATCAGATTATCCCCAGCTTTTTAAGTTCAAGAGAAAACCTTTTTTAAGTAGCTATGCTTTAAATTTTTTGAGCTACACATTTTAGAACTTTAACAAATTCAAATGAAATGTAACTGGTGAAATTGGTGAAATGTTTTTTACAGAAATCATAATGAAATTGGTCTAACTATCTCATACATAGGACATCTACGTTTTATAATTTCTCAATATTATATGTCTCTTTTGCTGCCCCTCATCGCATTTTGTTTTCTCTCCAGTAGGAGGGAAAAAACAACTTAGTGATTTTCCCATTTTGCCAAAACAGATCAGTTCAGTCAAAAAGATGATCCACTTTCTCCAGTAGGAAGTAAAAAACAACTTAGTGGTTTTCCCATTTTGCCAAAATAGATCAGCTCAGTCCAAAAAATAATCCACTAGCATAAATGAAAATCTGATCTACTCAGGTAAATACAGTTTCGCTGGACACTATGCTTCATATATCTTTTGTCTCCATTCTAATACTTCTTATCAACCCAAAAAAAAAAAGAAAAAAGAAAAGCATAATTTATAACTCTCCAAATGAAGAAAGTCCCGATTTTCTAAAGAACAAAAACCTCATTGCATAACAGAAAGAAATAAAGAACTTCATAAGAAAAGTTGAAGACAAAATAGATAAATCTATTTTTCTCTTATAATAAAGAAAAATTAGAATCATCAAGAACAGAATATCCATGAATTTCAGAACTTCTATATGTCATAAAACATCCTCGCATTTAATATATAAAAAAAAAAAATCGTCGCATTATTTCCCAAACCCATTTTCTGTATGCATTATAGAACACTCGACCTTATTCATTTGAACAAAAATTGCAGATACAACTCTAATATCAAACAATCTGTAATCAATTCCTCTCTCTCTCTCTC